AAAACTTGTATTATTTTTCTTCTTCTAGTAAATTAATTGTCCTTATTTAACATTTAAATGGATTTATGTTCGGGAATAATGCAACTTAGTCCCTTTGCATATTTCTTCTATTTTCAGTAACTTAATCGTCCTTATTCAACATCTAAATCGATTTTTATGTTTCTGGAATAATGCAACTTAGTAAGTCTCTTCTCATATTCAGGAAAAAAAAATTTCTTCCTAGTATAACATAATTAAATAAATACATGTGGCTCATCTCGTACAATTTTATACTTTTAAATAAAATCATCAATGGTTCTAAGTGACACGAAGCTATAAAATTTTGAAATGAATAAATTTAGATGCTTATAAAATATATTTGACTTGCTTGTAAGCTTACCAAACATGCTTCTTAGTGCATAATAAACTCTTTTTTTTTTTTTTTTTTCTCCTTATCCTTTTAACACTGTTGAAAACTAACTTATCTATCTTACCACATGAAGCGAGCAATGCATCCATCTTAAGAGTTTATTTTGCCAGTAGGAAAATCCCAATTACAGGGATTTATGGATATCATACAGAAGGCTCATAACATTTGCGGATGACAAGATCCTCAAAAGTACATACAGATGAATGAGTGTATAGCATTCTCGATTAATATGTTACCAGCACTCTCTCCATGGAAAAATTCTTATTAATGAATTCTTTGCACCTTTTATAAACAAACTAGTATAAACATATTTCACACACAGTATTCGACAGGAGTGAAAAGTATAGTGAACAAGATTCTTTCTTATCTTTGTCAAGTGTTATCTAATGCTTTGTATCAAATATGTTACTAGAGAATTGTTTCTAATACATGAAGCATTCAACCTTTCAAAGTGATGAGGACATCTAATTTTGGGCTAGTTTGACATCTTTGCTTTGGGCTACTTTTGGGCTAGATTATTACCTTTTATTTTTGGGCTTGTATTATGTATTGGGCTGGCCCAAGCCCTTTTTCCTTTGTGTTGCATTTTATATATGTAGGCAACCTTTTGTAAGGGAGAGACACATACGATAGAATTAATTGAATTGAGTGTTGCAGGAGTGTTCTCCTTTTCCACTGCCCTTTCTTCTCCTCTCCCCCTTCTCTCCTTCCTCCCCTGGGTGGCTGTCTTCTTTACCTCTCCTTCTCCTCCTAATTTCTTCATTCCATCCTACATCAACTTGGTATCAGAGCTAAACCTGGTTCCAACATCTTCAACTGAAAATTGGAGTCACAGAATTGCCATGGAAGTGATGAAAAGTTCAGTCAAATTCCTATCTTCAGCTTGCTGTTCAACACCATAAAGCCTTTCCCAGAAGGTGACCCATCCATCCTCTCCAAACCACACACAAACATCTAATTCATATACACTTAGCCAATTACACCCAACGCTGTCTCCTCCGGCTACTGTCAACAGCTACCAACGATTCCTCAAACTCCCCACTCAAAATTACAGCAACTCAAAAATTGACCCATCGCCTTTCCAATCTTGACCCACTCGCGACAACCCGGAGCACCCACCCCGCAGCCGCCACCTCCGCTATCAAAACCCATGAACACCGACCGCCAGTCATCCTCCCAGCATCGCCTTCACAGTAAATTCACTCACTGCAACCACCGATCTTCGTCTGCCTAAGCCACCACGTCGTCAGACCAACACAAAAGGTGAGCCAGTGCCTTCTTCAAGTAGCGCTACTCGTAATCACCTTCACTTAGACCCAATTCTCATACGGACCGCATAGATACAACGGGGAAAAACGACTGGGCCAAGATAACAGTGGGCAGTTTAATTTAATTGGACTGTGGCTTAATAAATATTATGGGCTTGGGCTTGGGCTTATGTGGCTAGGGATTTAATTGTAATTGGGCTTAGTTTTGTGATTTGGGCTCATTCATTGCCCTATTTGTTTATATGTAATGTAGTTTGATTTTGTAAGTTGAAAAAAAAAAGGACCAAAAAAAAGAAAAGAAAAGGAAAAGAAAAAGCGAAAAAAAGGAGCAAAATAAATAAATAAATAAAATAAAATTGTATTTTCTAACATCATTTTGCAGGCACCTCTTCTTATCCTGTCGATCAACCCAACTACTTCAACGAGCAAAAAAGGAAGTTACTATTTTTATCTATATTTGGTTTATATTACTGTTAATTTAAAATTGCGTCAATTAAATTTTTGTGCTACTATTGTTCTATTTTTTTTATTATTATTATTTTATTTTTTTTTTTGCCTAAATTCATGTAATTGATCTATTAACTTTGTTAAATTCCACTTTTACATCACTTATTTTACGTAATTAGGTTTGACTAGTATTTTACTCCTTGTTTCGCTATTTTACATATATCAGCAATATTAGCTTATCGTATTTGGATTTATTTAATCCCAAAATCTTAACAAAAAAATAAAATAAACATTCATAATTGCTCAAGTCTATATTGTCTTTATGTGCAATTGTTATTCATTGATCTCCCCATACATTGCATTTAGTTGTTACTACATTGCATGCAATTGCGAGTGGTCATCTTGTCATCCCTAGTGCTAATACTTTGACCATGGATCCTTCCCAATTTGATGCACTATCACGACAATTAACCCAACTTGTTACTAATCAACAACAGTTTCAGACTCAATTAGCGACTGTCCAATCCGAAATTACTGCTACTCGTGAGGAGAGAAAGAACCTAGTTGCTAAAACAAGCCATTTTAAGTAAATCCCTCATTCGACTGACGTTCATAAATCTAAAGTGATCCATAATAGACAATATCATCATCGACAGAGTGATAAAAAATGCTTTCGACACGATCGTAAGGATAGGGATTAGGTTCGTGAGCAAGAACGAGGTTGTAATCATCACAGTACTCATTCACTTTCTCGTCATAAGGAGAGTTTCTTTAGAGACATTAAATTAGATACTCCTACTTTTGATGGTTGCTTAGATTTTGAAGTTTTTACTCAATGGATTGCTCTTAAACAAGGGAATCGACCAGTGACTGAGTATATTGCACAATTTGAGGAATTTCGAACCAAATGCCATGTCATTGAGAATGAGATCACGACATTGAGTAGATTTAGCCAAAGTCTAAGAAATGTTCTTAGGCGTGAACTTTTCCTTCGAAGTGTTACTACTCTTGATCACGCTTATTATTTAGCTCGAGATTGTGAATTGACTATTAGTAATCTATATGAAAAGCGTGATCACCATCGTTCGGCCATGTCATTAGTGCCACCTCAACATAAATCTATCATAGAGTCTTCCTCGTCTAGTGTTCCTCCCATTTGGAAAAATAAGTGTAAAGGTCATGATAGTCCAAGACCCATTTCTCCATATAGACGGCGTATTGACAACCATTCTTCTGTTTCATTGGCTCCACTTCTTTTGGTTAAGTCCCTTCTAGGACCTCCCTCGTACAATGTTCCTCCAATATTAGAAAATAAGAGCAAAATTTTTGAAACTCCAAAGACTTCTTCTCACTTGCAATGTATTAGCTATAAGGACTTTGGCCACATCTCTTCCAAATGTCCTAAACGAGCCTTAGTCATAGAAGAACAAAGAATGTAATAGAAGAATCATTAGAAGATCTAGTATATAAACCTAATCTTGAAGATTTTGATGATGATGGTAAGGACACCTCATTAGGTGGCATCTAGACTCTTCCTGAGACTCTAGATACTATATCCCATGATTTCACTAGTTACTTTTCGAGAATCCAGTCGCCTATGGTTAGCACTAAATCGAAATTCTACACTGCAGACCAACCTCAGACTGATGGTTAAAATGGAGTTGTTAACCAAAGTCCTAGCAATTTATTCAAGTCTCTAGTCTAAAAAAATCATGGGAATTGGGACTTGATCCCCCAACTGTTCAAAATGCATATAATAATTCTGTTAATCGATTTCTAAGTCTAAATCCATTTGAAGTTGTTCATAGTTATAAGTCTAGGTGGTCGTTAGATCTTATTCTCATGTCCCCGCATGCTAGTGTATCGTTGTCAACTTAAGCATTTGTATATCATCTTTCTGACCTGCATACTGAGATCAATAAGCAACTTGATACAAGTAATGCATTATATAAACCTCGATCTGATTGGCATAAACAATAATTCGAATTTAACATTGGGAATTATGTTATACTGTAAGTTTGTAGTGCTGATCCTTATAAAATTTTAAATTATGTTTGTTTAAATGCATGTGTCATTGATCTTTTATCACATTTTGGCCACCATTCTATTTTAACTGTTAAGAACTTCGTCACCTAGAAATGTTATTTTAACCCCTCTGCTGATCCGTTCTACCTCCCCATGGGAACTCTTACATTGAATCTTTTACTATGTCTACTTCAATCCTTCCTATCATAGCACACAAAGATAAAATTTGTGGTATTTTAGATGAACAGATTATATTGACCAACGATAGAGAGATTTGGAACTTCCTTGCTTGTTAGGTAAATCGGCCTAATTTTGATTGCACATGGATTGTCAAAGAAAAGTTACAACAACTCTGGATCAAGCTTGAGTCTCGATCTTTGGCTCTTACGAAAGATCGTCCCCCTCGGTAGAAGTTCAACCACTCGACAAAGTCGAGTTTTCCCCCACTCTAGAAGAGTTGATGAGGACATCTAATTTTGGGCTAGTTTAGCATCTTTGCTTTGGGCTACTTTTGGGCTAGTTTAGTATCTTTTATTTTTGGGCTTGTATTATGTATTGGGCTGGCCCAAGCCCTTTTTCCTTTGTGTTGTATTTTATACATGTAGGCAACCTTTTGTAAGGGAGAGATACGATAGAATGAATTGAATTGAGTGTTGCAGGAGTGTTCTCCTTTTCCACCACCCTTTGTTCTCCTCTACTCCTCTCCTTCTTCCTCCCCTGGCTGGCTGTCTTCTTTACCTATGCTTCTCCTCCTAATTTCTTCATTCCATACTACATCACAAAGTACACATCACATGCACATCAATTCTGATTCTTATTATGCATATTCAGAATACATGATCAGAAGAGAATATTCAAATACAACTAACTAATGGGAAGAGGCATATAATCTGAATCCCCAACTTTATTCTCTACTTTATCACAAAATGATCTCACACTAGTGTCCAAAGACTTCTTCAATATCAGAAGAGCATAAATCAAATATATGTGGGATTGTGGGAATGATGTCCTGAACTAGGAGGATAAAAGACTAATCATTTCTATGAAGTAAAGATGAGGGGAGTATAGTATAGAACACTTAGACTGCGAAGTTTCTCGCATAAGATGGTCACACCTTACTCTGACCGGCATCAGGACTCCTCAGTTTCAAGGTACTGGGAATGAGAGGCTGCGATGAGTGCAGCTCCAATGCCAGAGCTGTCTTTGGAAAGCTCAATGTTAACGCTCTCTGAAACCTCCTCCCCCAGGAGCTCTTTAAGTGTATTCTTCAGACAATTCCTGAATTCAGAATACTGCTCAAACAGTCCGCCATCCAACGCAATCACTGACCTCTGCTTCTCACCCTTTTTTACAGTATCTCTTCCCAGTTTTTTGAGAATTCCAAAGATTCCAGCAGCCGAAAGACGGGCCCCACGAGTGGCAACAATTTCACATACTTCCACAATCATTTTCCTCATTTTTAAGGAAGAATTAGGTATCTGTCACAAAGAAAAATGGAGACAATGTGTAACTGCATTAGGTTTTTGCACAAGCAGCCAACTTTAATTGCTCCTCGGATGCACCCCAGTCAACATAGTAGAGATGCCAAAATTTGCTAGCTCTACAAAGAGATAGATGACCATTTATACCACTATGCCTCTCGATGAATACAAAGTATTTTACCTCCAAGATATCCTTTAGTTTGCTCCCAAACAATTTGAGATCAGCAGTATCGTCGTGATGCATTGCAGCCATGACAGGGATCCTGCACCGCATTTTTCTCTCAGTATCTATATTACAAATGATTTAGCACCTCTTTCAGGCCCATTTTTTCAGTACAGATTTTGTAAAAAAATAGTGATTTTTTGGAGGACATGTGGTTGAAAAGTAGGGAAATGTTTTCGGTTTACACACATTATTTTATTGGGAGGGTTGAAAATGAATTTGGGGAAAAATCAGTTTTTAAGAATGGGGCTCAAGAAAGGGCTTAATTTCCTCGATGAAACGATGTAGTATTATGAGGATTTTATTTGACCAAAGCTATAAGTTAAACCACATCCGATAATTCGTTAATAGAACTAGGGTTTTAGGTGCATGTGTTGGACCATGAAAGGACAAAAATGTCCATAAGATAAATGCATCTAAAAATGAGGATTTTAAGATAGATGGCCAAACTAAAATGACTAAATACACAATGAGAAATATGTCAAAGAGTGAAGAGGGCACAAATTATGGAGAAATTAAGGGTAGGAAGAATTAGATAGGATATCTCGCTTAAGCCTCGGGAAATGTCCACAAAAGAAATGTGAAAGATTTGATTCTTTGGACCTTTCAGTACAAATAACACTGATTGAACTTGTGTAGATTCACCACGTTTGTTAGCAATAAGACTAACTTCTTGTATCGCTAGTGAAATTAGATGGTACATTAGCTTACAGAGATTCTCGTATCCAGCCGGCATCACCATCACTACTCACCATATTGTGAATGGAATTCTCAGTTTTGTCGGGATATCATCACCAAAAAAGGATGCTTCTTCTGCCAACCTGCATAAGACTCGGCGTACAATTTCTCCCAAATACATGCCAGAAATTATCTTCTCAAAAATCTGAAGAAACAAGTTATGGGTGAGATCAGACATATAACCAAGCAGAAGTAATAAGAAAAAGCTATTGAAATGACCTGCTCACCAGGGTTTAAACTTTCAGCATCGAGACTTTGATCATACTCTGTTAAAGGAAGATGTGATGATCGGAAGTTACCCCATTCCATGTTTATAACCTGCAAAAGTGAAGCAAAATCTAGTTAATAATATAGATCACAACGATGTCCATGCATGGCTAAATAAACGGGCGGTGAAAATTGATGAAGCATAAAGGGAGAGATGATCAATGATGAAAGGACAATTTATGCCTTGATCAACATTAGATAACAATATACAATCGAAGGATGGAGCTGCTAACCATTTCCCCAGATTTAGGAAGCGGACCTTGCCACTTTGGAATAGCATTTGCCCATTCTACATATGCGGCATTAGTTCCAGTACCCAATATCACCGCAGCAATCACATCAGGGTGGTTGTATTGTCCTCCGGCTAATGTTCCAACTGTATCATTGACCTGCATACCCGGAGGAAGATATTGAAGTTCTAATTTATTAGATATTCTACAAGTTAAAGTTTGGTGTAAATGGTCGGCCAAAAGGAGGCCGGACCAAGATTTTGGTCCATAGTTCAACCTTCAATGCTTTCTCACGATCATGTGGGGTTTTAAGTTCACAAAGAAGTAAAAGGTTACTTTAAACATAAGTACAAGATACTAGTAACTTTGTGTGTTCCAAATATGTTCGCACAAGTTATTTTTTTTTTTAGTTTTAAATTAAAAAATTACGTATTTCAAAAGTAATCCTGACCTTTAGCATCAAAAATTATTAATTCAAATTTTTCTGATTTCATAAATGTTTTGCCAAACAAACCACTTCCATTGGGCAAGTTCAGAAAATACAGGTAAAAGAAATAATTGATAAAGTAAACTATGTGACATCAAAAATATTATATGCACAAGCAAGGTGAAAGTAGAAAAATTTCATGACGGGAAAATCAAGACTTACCAAAGCAGTCACATGCATATCAAGGCCAACTCTTTCCATTGCTTTAGTCAACTCTCCGACAATATCTTGTCCTATCTATTTAAAACCATCAATAACAGATACATTGGAGAATTAGAATCCTATAAGTAAATATGTCTAATCCTCAGGGAGCGAGCACACACATGGAACAACAATCACAGTTCTATTGAGATCCAGCAATTAACTATCAACATTTGTCATATACATTTCCTGAGTCATTAAGGGATGGATGGTAAACTAGAAAACATCAAATTAGAAAGGAAGGTTCCATGACGAAATCAAGAATCAGGTAGAGAATGCACAACCACAAATACATAGGGAGGAGAGAACTAGCTTATTTTCTTTACTTAGTTCATTTATAGCTAAAAGAGAAGTCGCCAGATAGATTAGTGGAATGTGAAAAAGAAATGACATATTCTTACATATGACTCACTTATCTACACTTACTAGTAATTAGCTAGTACTTCCTTATAAATGAAATTCAATGAGACCACAGTACTAGTTTACACTAACCAAGCAAATGAATTGATTGAATCCCAGAACAAACCAAACATTAACCAGTTTACTGAAAAGAATGGTTGAAATCAGATTATAGACCTTACATCATTAAAACGTCACATATAAGTTGACCAACAAGGGTAAAAATATTTTGAAGCACAGTTAGTAAGGTTGATATGCCAAGTTATCTATCACTACAGCCGCAGAAAAAATAAATAAATAAATAAATAATCTGAAGACGAGTGGATTTTTGTGAAAATCAGCTTCGGCAAGTGGACATAGCTTTCACATTGATGTCAAACACTGTATATTTGTGTTCTTTGTGCATTTTCTGATTCCCTTTCAGAGTTAGATATTAAGGTTTAATCCTAAAATGAAACCCAAGTGCAATAGGTATGCCTCTGCACAGATAAATAACAGAATAATAAACGCAAGTTCAACAAATAAAAAAGAAAGAGAAGAAAGCTAAGATCTGAAACTAACTGCATCTTCTATGAGGAAGCCTTTAGTCCACTTTATAAGAGTCCCAGAAGCCAATGATAATTGCTTAACTGGGAAAGAAAAGGTGAAACCCAGCTCCCTTTGCCTGCCAGGTAGAAGAACAAAGTCTTCACCTTCTGTTGCAACAAAGTTTGCCAGTGCCGCAGCAATAAAATCAAACAATTCCTGGAATCACCATGAAATGAAATTTCACATCATAATAACAATTGAAACAACATTTAAAACTGAAAGAATGGCTGAAGACACACTTACATGTGATGATCCAACCATCAAATGTGGAGGAATTGAAAGTACTTCAGATTCTTTTTTGACCACACGGTCTTCTTTTCCACCAAGCTGCACACGCAGGACTCGGAAGTTTGTGCCACCTAGGTCCAATGCATAAAATACTCCTTTTTCATCGCTGAAGCAGAAATATTGACGAACATAAGCACGATAAGTGAAGCCTATCTCCAGGAAGAGGAACAGAGAAACAAAACTTAATCATATTAAATTAGTCCAGGATCTGATAGAACTAAGGGCACTACAATCTAGCCGTCCTCAAGATCATGGTAGCTAAAGAAAACAGAATTTTACAGTTCTTAGTATTCTCTCAGAATAATGTTTCCACTATTTGTATCTTGTTTACTTTAAGTCCATTATATAGTGATTGAGATCATTCCTCTGAGAACTTCCATTTCCTGAATATTTCAAGAGACTAATTAATAGTCAGCTAGTAGCCCAGTGATCCATTTGAGTTTGTTTATTTCATGTGTCACTTTGAACAAACTTGTACTGAACCACAGTGAAATTACGATGTAATTCACAGTTAAAACAGAAAGCAAAATGATAAAACAACCACAACATTCATGACGTCCAACCATAGAATATTTTGATGTATCAGAGTAAAGATAAGTGGTCAAGACAATCTGAGGATTTAAGTCAATAAGTAAGCTAGTTAGCAGTAATTTTGACTTGATAATGGAAAGTAGAAGCTAATTCAGAATACAACAAGAAAATTATAGATGCAACTTCAATAAAAACTCAAATCTGAATAGTGTTTAATTTTGGAAAAAGTGGAGATAATTGTGCAAAACTATAATAGTATTCAGATAGTACAGGTATTAAATTATGCAACAAAATCAGGTTACAGTTGTAAAATGAAGAGTTAATACTATGTTTGACTATTCAGCAAATCGAGTCAACAGAATTAAAAACACGATAAAAAGAGAAAAACTTAAAAACAAGAACAATTAAAATAATTTTTAACATGTGATGATAATGATGAAGAAACTAATAAATGAACCCGATAAGGAGAAGCGGAAGAACCAAAGAAGTAAAAAATGTAAAAAGAATAACAACGCGTGCTTGCATGTCAGAAGGTCCACAAATGAAAGATTTATGTGTATTTAACACTCGAGTCACTAAGAAAGGCGTAAAAGAGGATTCAGAAATAGGAAAGACAATAAAGGTCCGTAGTTACGTTTACAACAGACATTAAATAAAAGCACAAACAAATCTTTGTTAAAGAAAATGTCAATTGCCTATTAGCATAAGATTGCCATGAAATGAGTGAACTCTCAACTCAACCAGAACCTTAAACTGGAATCAGAGTATGCCTTAAAAAGTGAATTACAATTCAATGAACTAATATCAAAGCATGTATGGTTTCTCCAATAAAGTCAAGGCTATATTGCGCTTATATGAATCGTATTTTCAAAATAACAGGCTAAAATTATTCCCGAAATATGAGAATAAGGTTTCTTATTCAATAAACAATTTTACCCGTTCAACCACACCTAAAATCATATATTTGCATCACCACTCTTTGGTTTAGATAAAAATCCTATTTTTTGTAGAATTTGACATAAATTGATGAAATATGTGGTTGAAAATTTGATAAGTTGTGGGTCCCACTATGCGCGTGGTTTAAAATGAATTTAAGGAAAAATGAGTTTTAGAAAATGAGACCAAATAGGGGCTAAAACTCAATATTATCAGAGATATAAGAATTGCAGAAACAATAGAAGCAAGTTAGTGATAATGAGCTGACTGTACACTTGGCATGTTTTATAAGTCAAATTGGACCACACTCGACAATATTAACAAAGAAAAAGTAGCCAAATATAATCTGTCCTGTTCAATCCAGTCCCATAGTGCATTCAAAACAAGTCCGTAGAGGCTAATAGCAACTAATCTTCAAGATTTATTCATATGGGAGCTCAATTTACTATTAAAAAAATAATAATAATAATAATAATAATAATAATATATATATATATATATATATATAT